GCAGGGCAGGGGACGGGGCGGGGCCCCATCTCAGGCCAACTGGGCCCACCCTGGACCCCCACCAACCCCTGGGGCCTGGGTTCTGCCTCCCCAGATACCCAGAAAGGAATCATGGGACTGAGCCCTGTTAGAAAGTGATTAAACTCCCCAGGTCCTGAATCTTGGTGCCCTTGAGCATCTGAGCAAAGAGGGGGACCCCCATTTCTGTACTTCTCCCTCCTTTGCTGTCTCAAAGCCCTCTGCTTCCTGGGCCATTTCCCTGACCACATTGGCCTTTGTCCAGTGCCCAGGGTTTCCCTTCATCCTCTGCCCCCAACATTCATGCCGCCCCCCGGCCCGGAGCCAACACTGCCTCCCAGGCTGGCCTTTCCGCAGCCCGCTGTGACGGTGTCGGTTCTTGTTCTCCTCAGCTGGACTTCTGGAAGGGCCCTGCCCACCCTGGCTCCCCCATTGATGTCCGAGTGCCCTTCCCCAGTATCCAGGCTGTCAAAGTCTTCCTGGAGGCACATAGCATCAATTACACGATCATGATCGAGGACGTGCAGTCACTGCTGGACGAGGAGCAGGAGCAGATGTTCGCCTCGCAGGCCCAGGCCACCTCTACTGACACCTTTAACTATGCCAGCTACCATACCCTGGACGAGGTGAGGAGCTCCTGGAGCCACATCCCATCGGCACCCGCTCTTTGCCAGGCTGACAGAATTCGGCCAGGGTGTGCGTGGCACCTGCTCCGTCTCCATGTGGCCTGGATGGTCTGGTCTGGGCTGCAGCTCGAAGCTGGTCGGTTAATGGAGCTGCTAAGGGACACATTTGGGAGCCTGGAAGCCATTAAGCCTGGCCTTGCCTCCTCTCCCTTCTCAGATCTATGGCTTCATAGACTTGTTGGTGGCCGAGTACCCACAACTTGTTAGCAAGCTCCAGATCGGCGAAACCTTCGAAGGCCGTCCCATCTACGTGCTGAAGGTAACGGGTGTCCATGGGTGTGTATGAAAGAATGGGCACCCACAACTGTGCGTAGGGTTAGCCCGTGGGCACAGGGAACATACTGTTATACAGACTTCCCCTGCTGACATGTGGACAAAGGTCTGAATTTCCACGCTGACCTAGGTGTATGCATACCTGTACACACAACTCAAATTTTTAAGTGACCCAAATCAAGTTTTCAATCAAGTGTCACATTGTGGAAAGTTACCCTGGAGTTCGGGTAATCCCTATAAAATGCTTAGTAACCTCTGTCAGAGAACTATATGTGGGCAGTGGCATGGGGGGGGGGTGGAGACCAGAAATCTGGCTGAGTCACATTTGCCCCAAGCTTGGGCTGAGGGCAGGAGGCCAAACTCTGCGGGACCCCTGTCCAGCCCCCAGCCCCCACACCCCACCTGAATGATGGCCCCTTCATCAGAGCCTCAACTTGAGATACCCAGAGAGCAGGTGGCCTCTGGCCTGGGGCGCACTGCCCTTTGAGGAGGTAGGACCATTTCCACGATCTTCTTGTCCAGTTCAGCACTGGGGGCAACAACCGTTCTGCCATCTGGATTGACACGGGCATCCATTCTCGAGAGTGGGTCACCCAGGCCAGCGGGGTCTGGTTTGCAAAGAAGGTAAGCCGGGGGAGGCGGGGGGCGTTGAGGTGCAAGTCCCACAGAACTCTTGCCCTCCGCTTCCCATCTCGAAGCAGTGGCCGCAGAGGGAGGCCAAGCACAGGCATCCACAGCTCTGCCTCTCTGCCCCCCCGCCCCCTGCCAGATCGCACAAGACTATGGCCAGGACTCGGCTTTCACTGCCATTCTTGACAACGTGGACATCTTCCTGGAGATCGTCACCAACCCCGATGGTTTTGCCTTCACCCTTAGCAAGGTATGCGCCTTTTCCTGTTCTTGGGGAAAGCAGGGTGGGTCTCTGGCCTTTGAGTCCCACAAGCTACTCACCCCTCATCTCAACCGTCAGAAGCCACGGGAAGGGCCAACAGGCCTGTTCCCCTAGACCAGGCTTCTCAGCCTTGGTATTCCTGACATTTCGGGCAGGTAACCCTTTGTGTGGGTGGCTGTCCTGAGCTCGCCCAGTGTTTAGCAGCATCTTGACCAAGGACTCACTAGGTGCCAGTAGAAACCCCCACTCCCTCTGCCGCCGAGACCAGCAAAAATGGCTTCAGACATTGCCACATGTCTGGGTGTGGGGGACAAAACTGTCCCCAGTAGAGACCCACTGCCCCAGACTTGCTTCCTGGTTCTATTTTATTTTTATGGCAGGGGCAGCATGTCACCAGTCGAAAGTGTATACTGCCCCAGACTTGCTTCCTGGTTCTATTTTATTTGTATGGCAGGGGCAGCATGTCACCAGTCGGAAGTGTGTGTGGGGGGGGGGGTTACCTCCTCCTGCCTTCTTCACTTTCCAGCAAATGCTCTGCACCGTTCCTCCCTACTCCTCCAACCAAGAGCCCCCTTTGCAGATCTTCCTCTCCGACAAACAAGTCGAAATGGCTTTCCGGTCCCACACTGTGTCCACACCCGAACTCTGGATCGGGGTGCTTTGTGTTGACTGAGGCCACTCGCAGCCCACACTGCTCCCTGTGGGCTCTGAACTCCAGCCTAGCAAGGGGATGGTGACGGGCAGTGTCTGATTTTTCTTCCTCAGAACCGCTTGTGGCGCAAGACTCGATCGATCACGGCGGGCTCTGCCTGCGTTGGGGTGGACGCCAACCGGAACTGGGACGCTGGCTTCGGGTGTAAGGCCCAGCGTGCTCTGGGGAGCAGGGATGGCACTCCCAGAATGGCTTCTCATCTTCCTTTGTCCTGTTGCTCCCACCTCTGTCCCACCCCAGCCCAGAGGGCTGGGGGATGTCGGCCCCTCCTTTGAGGCTCTCAGTGAGGGAGGGGGCACTCTGAGGCTTGTTTCTTGTCTGTGACAAGAAAGTGTCTCCCAATGGAACTAAGGTCTGAAATCTGCTTAGGGGTTTTCTAGAGTGACCCCAGCTCCTTTTCTCTGTGACCACTTCACTGCAAGAACCGATCTTGCTTGAGGAGCCCTTCTCACCTGCCCAAGCCTGGCTGGGGAGGGAGGTGGGACCCCCAGGTTGTAAAAGACCGCTGGCCTTTCCTTAATCTGGGGGTGGTGGAGAGCCCTTCTGCATGCCACCTCTCCCCTAACTCCATGCAAAGAATGGGAAGCTATGGAAGCCACACTGCTCGTCTGTAAGGAATGCTAACAGCCACCTCTCTCCTCCTGCAGTGGCAGGAGCCAGCAGCAACCCCTGCTCGGAGACTTACCATGGCAAGTCCGCCAATTCCGAAGTGGAGGTCAAGTCCATCGTGGACTTTGTGAACGGTCATGGGAACATCAAGGCCTTCATCTCCATCCACAGCTACTCCCAGCTCCTCCTCTATCCCTATGGCTACACAGAAGACCCAGCTTCTGACCAGGAAGAGCTGGTATGTGCTGACCTCTCTTTGCCCTCCTGTCCCAAAGGCAGCTTTGGGGAGGCCTGGGGTTTCATCCATCAGACCTGCTTAAGGCACAAGGAGTACCCACAGAGTGCCTGGTGCCCCTTTACCCCAGGGACCCTTGATGGCTTGGGAAGGCTGGCAAGGCCGTCTAACTTCACCTTTTGTCTGGGGAACTGAGGCACAGCATGATTGAGTCACTTCTGTCACATGACAGAATGAGGGGCGGGGCTAGACTTCGAGCTCGTACATCAAGTTCACACTTGGAGCTGCAGTGCAGCCAGCCAGACATCCTGCAGGGTCAGAGGATCATGGGGCTGCTGAGCTCAGGGCTGACCCTGTAGGACCTAGAAGGCTCTATGCCCTCTTCTGGGGACCTGCTTCTGCAGGATGCATGCTCCTTTGTCACACTGCTTGGCTACTCTGGCCCTGTCCTTCGGGGGCCTAGTACTGCTAGCCATGACAGGTGGTCTTGCTTGGCATTTCTCTAGGATCAGCTAGCCAAGTCTGCTGTGACAGCCCTGGCCTCTCTGTATAGGACCAGGTTCCAGTATGGCAGCATCATTACAACAATTTGTAAGTGGGTGCATGGTCTCTGTGGGTGGCCCTGGGAGGACACTCAGCTGGCTTTTCCTCCTGGAGGGAGTGTCCCTCCCGGAGGAAGTACCCAAGGGTGCCCAGATCTGGGAGCATGGGTGAGGAGAATGGCCCCTGGCCATACCCACAACTGCTGACTTGGGGGACAGCACTGCCCTTTCCTGAAGTGAACTTCGCCCTTTTCGATGCCTTCACACCAACACGTCCAGTCCTCTGAGAACTCTTGCACCCTTGTCTTGGGGTTAAGTCCAGCTTCATGCGTGGAGGGGGAGGAGAGCTCTGCTGGCCTTTGCAGATCACCAAGAAGTTCGACTGAAAAAAAATACTCCTCCTCCAGTGCCCTTCAATCAGAGAACATATCCTCTTTCCCAACTTACGGAGACATGCGATCCCCCTGCTACATCGAAATGGAATTAAGTCAGCAGATGTCTGTTGAGCACCTACTATGTACCAGGCCTTGTTTTGTATGCTTGGAAAAAAATAAGTGTAGCTCAGAAAACTTACATTCTAGCTGGGGAGACTGACAAGAAACACGAAGAGGTAAATGATACAGTGTGTCAGGTAGGAAAATGCTAGAGAGAACAAGGAAAACTAGAATGGGGTGAGGGGACTTAGGAATGCTGGGCGTGGGAGCAGGTGGGTGGGTCGAAAGGGAGGCCTCACTGAGGGAGTGAAATTTGGGCAGGTGTTGAAGGAAATGAGGGAGGGAGGCGAGAGGCCATCTCTATCTGGGAAAGAGCTTCCAGGCAGAGCAAAGGTTCCTTCTGTGTGGTCTGGAAACAGCAAGAACAGGACGGAGACCCTGATGGCTGCAGCTGAGTGACAGGCTGGGATTGTAGAGACCCGCGGGGTGAGGGAGCCCACCCCAAGTTGGCTGGATGACAGCGGGCAGGAGCACTGAAGAAGCAGGGGACAGGGACAGGGGTGGGAGGGCGAAACACACCGCTCACGTGCTTCCTGTCTGGTGCGCCCAGGTTTCCATGGCTGAGTGGGTCCCAGCCTTACTGGGGCTGGCCTTGCCTTTGGACGCGGGGCCTTCTTTTGAAACTCTTTCAACCCCGAGTCAAAAAAGTTTTTGCTTCATTCAACGTTGTCAGCTTAAATCCTGATATGCAGCCACTTCCCTCTCTCGCTCCAAAGCCGCTTTGGAGCTGCTTGGTAACTAAATCTGGGCAGATCTGCCTCCGAAAAGGCAGACCAGGGGCCTTCGCTTTGGCTGGCCCTTTACCCGCTGCAGACCGCAGCCCAGGGGCACAATCCCAGTTACCCACGCGGGGAGTTCCGGTGTCTCTGGAGGCTTGACGAAGCGGCTCCTGGAGGACGGAGGCGGTTTTCAGTGGCGCTTTTGCAATCGTAGGAACTTTCATCCCCGGGTGAGAGGAGAACCATCGCTGGTCCGCCTCTCTGGGGGCTGAGACCCTTCGGAGCTCTTGGGAGGGAGCCAGGCTGCTTGGTCAACAGCAGGCACTGAGCAGACGCTGACTCCAATCAACTCTGCGGAGGCTCTGGGCTTGGGACCATCCGCGGGGCCCACGGAAATGTTGGAGTGACTGACCTTTGCCCTCCCGTTTCTGTCCTGCCCCAGACCGAGCCAGCGGCAGCTCCGTCGACTGGGCCTACAACCAGGGCATCAAGTACTCCTACACCTTCGAGCTCCGGGACATGGGGTACTATGGCTTCCTGCTGCCGGCCTCCCAGATCATCCCCACCGCGCAGGAGACGTGGCTGGCGCTCCTGGTCATCATGGAGCACACCCGGGATAACCCCTACTGAACCCGCCTTTCGGCGCTCGCCTCTTTCTCCTTTCCGGCCCCACCCGGGCAATCCAATAAAGTTTGAGTGTACGTGGAACAGACCCGTGGGATGCGCGGATGGGAATGCACGTGGCGCGTCTGCCTTTTCAGGCCGCGGCGGGAGTGATTTAGTTCTTGCAGGCCTCACTGGAAATGTGTGGGTGGTTGGACTAGATGACCCCTAAATCCCCCCCACATTCCAAGGTCCTGTGAAGTTGTATCCAAGTGGCGTCTGTTTTAATTAGACCACCCTGAGCTCGGCTCGTCAGCGGGGTGATTTGTTCATACCTCAGTAGCAAGCAGCAGCCACAGCTGCTAACCAAATGCCTGGCACCCCGCGGTGGCGAGGAATTCAGCCCGTACAATAGTCTAGCTGGTTGGATCCATTCATCCACAGCAGCTATAACTTTGAGTATGAAATAGAATAATTGTGGTGGCCACTGCTGTCCCAAATAGATGGTGCAGCCAGGCAAAGCAAATTTCTATAAAGCAAATATGGTCTCCTACTCCCGAATTAAATTGGAAGAGAGCAATTAGGTCAGATGGAATCATTTACTGAAAATGAAGAACAAACACCAATCCCAGGACATCTGATTAATTGTAGTTTATCACGAAGACCTCACCTTCAGGGAGGGAAATAGTTTGCTTAACATTCATACATCTTTTCTAGCATCTTTCCGTGCCTTGTGCCTGTTTCCTCTTGTTCCACTCAACACCATTCCTTATCATTCACAAAATTTCTCAAACATAAGGCCCTCCCAGGAGTCTACAATTTGCCTTTCCTCTTTGGCCTTGGTGATTCTGATGGCTGTGATATCATACTTAGTGGCTAGCACAATACGTAGGGTATCTCAACGTTTTTTGAAAGCAAGAATCTACCTTCTGTTTCTTCCGAATCCCTTAAGACGTGACTGTAGAGCAGGGGGGTTATTCCCACATCCCAGCTGAAGCTGATGCTTTTAAGTGGACATAATTTCTACCCATCTAAGGACTCCCGCGGAAGTCATTGGGAAGTGGATGGAGGGTGGCTTGGTAGCTCCCCAAACAGCGAGGCTGGGGGCGAGGATGACAGCCTTTCCCTGTCAGCTAGGTGAGGTATCACAATGCATCCAGTTCCACTGACTTGAAAGTTTTGTCTTTTCCACTTAAAATGGCCTGAAGGTCAAATGCTTTTTTTTTTTAAGGGATTATTGGGGAATTTTCATCTTGAAGTTTTTTATTTTAATATTTTTCTTTGCTATCAACATTCTAAAAACAAGAAAGCTGACTATACATGTATATACATAAACTTACGCATATATAAGTTTATGAGGCGAGATAAAATAGTGTTTCAGTTTTTACAGAGAGATAGATTTTAGAATACTTCCTTCAAGTTATCTTTTGATACATTGAAACATTTCCCTTCAATCCGTGAAGTTAAGCTGAAATCCATTTTAATGGCTCAATTTGGGCAAGTAAAAAGCCGATCTTATTTTTTGTTTAGCAAGACAATATATCACTTTACAAAATTGGATTACTTAGACTTCAAGGGGTTGAATTGCTTACTTTAAAATAAACTGTGCTCCCTGACAGTAGGGACCACTTTGGTAGGCATTCGGTTTCCAAAACCATCAATAGTACTTGACATATAGATGACCGATAAACATTTGTTGAATGAATGTTCTCCACTTTTACTAATGAACTCATGGACTTTATAATCTGTATCTTTTAGTCTTAAGTTTACTCTAAATTCCCTGAGTTGTTGTTTAGAAAGGAAGGCTCTGAGAGAAGGTCTTAAGGAAGCTGCAAGGACAATAAATGAAGCACAAGAATGAATATTCCACGAGGACAGGAATTACATTGTTCTGTTACACATTTAATCCCTACTGGTTGGCCAAGTACATGACACATAGTAGGCACTAAATAAATTCTTATTAAATGGAAACACATAAGTCATTAACATTTTTTTTTTGTCTTTTCAATGTAGGAGGAGCTTTACATTTTAGTGGAAGATACATATTTTTACAAACCTATGGGTAAAATTTTTTATTTTATAAATAAAAACACAAAAAGCTAAAAGAGAAGCAATAATTTTAGAAAATATTGCGGCATATGTGAAAAGGTATTAATAACCTTGAGGGAGAAAGAGCTCTTAAAAGGGGTTGAAAAAAAATAAAAGACTAACATTTCAAAAGAAAAACAGTCATTTCCAAAAGAAGAAACATAAAAAGCCAATAAATGCATGAAAGATACTGATCCTGAGTGATCATCTTTTTATACACTAAAGAAAAACAAATATATTATTTTTCTCCCATCAGATTGACAAAGAATAAAAATACCGACAGCTCAGTGTTATCAAAGGTATGAAGAAATAAGACCTGTCATATCCTACGGGTGGGAAGGAAAATTTACACCACTTTCCTGGAGGGCAATTTGGCAATATAAATAAAAATTTTCAATGTGTTGCCCCTTTGACCCAGAAAGTCCACTCAGAAGAATTTCTTTGAAAAAATATTCAAGTAAGTTCAAATATATGTATGCACATGGTTGTAATAATAAAAATTTAAGTAAAAAGAACCTAAATAGATACTAGCATTGATACTGATATGACACATTTATAAAACAAAGTATCGTGAAGCCACTGAGATCTGTGTTGACAGGAAAAAATGGTCACAATATACTCAGTGAAGGAAGCCGGCCATATGGAAATGTTCTAAAATAGGTTTGTGGTGATGGTTGCACAACTCTGTAAATTTACGAAAAATCACTGAATTGTATATTTAGAATGGGTGAATTTTATGGTATGTGATTTATGCTTCCAGTTGTTGAAAAAAAAAGTCTGATTACAAAATAATATATTGAATATGAATCTCATTCTTATTTGAAACACACACATACACACACACACACACACACACACAAATGCCTAGAAGGATATATTCCCTAATAATTATTGTGGTTACCCTGGGTAGTGGTGGCGGTTTTCCACTTTATACTTTCCTGAATTTCTTGCAGTAAGCTTTTATAATTGGGGGCAAGGAGAGAAAGCTCTTTCAAACACACCAGATAACCTGTGGGTAAATTTTAAATTTATCTAGCATCAACTTATTATCAATATTTTAATTTGTGCTCAGATTCTTTCTTGTAATTTGTCGAAACTCATTTCTTCTGCTCTGGCATCCTATTTCACCTTCTTGCCCAGAACAACGCAATTGTCTTATCTTTGGAAAAATTTACACGCCAGATAGAGCTGGAAGCATTAGTGTCTCTACCAAAGGAAGGGGTTACTCATGTTCCCTAGTTGGTGACGGTTCCCTAAGTACTCTGCTGTAGCTCAGATAAAAATTCCCAAGAGCCCTTTCTGCTCACATTCAGTTCCTACAGCAATCTGAGGAATTGATTATGCTGATTGATTATGCCTATTCTCCAGGGCTTTTCAAAAATCCTTATGTTTAAATGAACTCATTTTACTTTTTTCTTAGACCGTTATATATGGCTCTCAATGTGGGCCATTGGTGGAGTCCATGAGAATCCTTTGGGTGGTCTCTTGAATTGATACACATGTCTAGCTTTGGCCTGAAGTTAAAACTGAAATGTCATTGAATACAATCCAGATATGACCTCACTGGTCCCTCATCCAGTGGAGGGACCATTTATCATCTCGGGGGTTGTTTTGCAAGGGCGAGTGGGACTAGGTAGATTGGAAGATGCAGACAGACTCACATTCTGAGGACTTAAAGGACATAAACGGGATTCTGTAAACACACTTAAGACCCAGATAATACTTTCAGGAAACAGATATGACCAACCATACCATTCAAATTGGCCAAAAGAAGGAAGAACTCTGAGAAAAAAAGCACATAGCACCCGTCAACTCGGAAAAACTGTCAAAGGGTAATGAATTCCCAAAGCTTTCAGGGTCTGTATTCATCTGGCAGCTTGAACCATGAACATCATCTAACAACCCCAGAAACCGAATGTTGCCTGCCAAAAAGGAGAAAATTAAAAAGTCTTCTGCTTAACCACAGTAGTGGTGGTGAGCTACGTTCTAGAAGGTTGCAGTAGAAGTGGGGCTCTGCCACACTGACTGGGGTATGGAGGGGCTGCCGCTGCTTCCTCCCGTGAAACCCAGGCCTGTGGCTATGAGCCAGTTCATGCAATTTCTGTCTCAGACTAAATCAGAAACATCACTGCAAGGGAGAGAAAAGACCAGACACAAATCATATCAATATGGTTTATTGAATGAACGGTTCAACCTCTCAGGAAAACAGCTTACTTTTTTCCTACATCTAATGAAAAGTTTCTAACTCGTATTCCTTAAGTGATGCCTCAGGAGGTGTTCACTAAGAAACAAAACAAATCTCAGAAACCTGGGAACACCTGTCTTCAAGAGAGGTCCCTCGGCACTGACAGCGGACACGTGAAAATACATAGTCCCAGGAGCAGATGTTTCAGTCCCCGAATTTCCAGCGCCTTTCGTGTGGGCAGAAGAGGGAAGCTTCCAGTGATCTCCGGTGACGAGGAGGGAAGCCGACAGCCGAGGGGGAGTCACGGTTTGCTGGTAAGTGGAGGCACGGCTGTGCCTCCCCAGCGAGGGAAGTGCAAGCAGGACGGCGGGAGTCACGGTTTGCTGGTAAGTGGAGGCACGGCCGAGGGAGACCAGGGCTGTGCCTCCCCAGTGAGGGAAGTGCAAGCAGGACGGCCGAAGGGACTTGCTCTGGAGCCACAGGTCCCACGCTGGACTCTGGCTTCTCAACCTTCTACCTCAGTGACTCAGGGCAAAGTGCTTAATGTCCATGTGATCCTCAGTCTCTTCGCCTGAAAATGGGGTGCCTACCTCCTAGGGCGGTTGTGAGAATTAAATGAGTCAAAACAAAGAATCTAGGAACACTGCCGAACACAGAGTAAGCTCTCCATGAATGTCTACTAGTATTATTATCTGGAAATCTTCAGGATTTGAAACAAAAGAGAAAGAACCACCCACTCTCTGATAAGGATGGTGTGCGACCTGTATTTGATGAATTCTGAAGGCTACTCTGAGCCTGAAGGGACCATGAAAACAGGCCTGGAGGACTGCAGACAGCAAGTAACACCCCTAACGGCTCTCTGGGTGCCTCCCGCAGAGGGCAATCTAAAAATCTCGGGCTTGTGAACGCCTCTCCTACCAAAGCAGGATGTGGTACAAAGGGATAAAAGATAAAGAGCTTTCTGGATCTCCAGAATGGCAAACCAGGGTTCAGTGGCCACCACAATGGGCCTTACATCCCAGACTTCAGTCTTGACAGGTTCAATTCATTTAGTCACACACCCTTATTAACAGCCACTGTCATACAGTTGGTGATTTTTATCCTCTAGGAGCTATAGTCTAAGTAACTTCAAATAATTTAAATAACTGTAGTAATAGCATTTGGTAAGTGACCTCTGTTTGTCCCACATTTTACCAACTGCTATCAGAATGTTACACAGGCGAAGAGAATCTGCTTCTGCTCTCAGAACAAAGAGGATCAGCATTGGAGAGAGAGACCATAAGGGGACCACGGCGTGACAAATACAGTTTTGCAAACACACATTAAAATCATGCACTGAAACCTGTTCTGTCAGAATTCAATGCTGACGAATTTCCACTGTTACAGATATAATGCTATAATTGACCTGTGTACCAATTTAAGGACACCATGACAGACAACTTCAATAATTACTACAATTGTGGGGAAGTATTACTACTCAAATGTGTTCTGAACGCTTGGGAAGCACAGTGTGTCTTGTTTACTGTATTTACGAGGAAAATATATTGTTAATCAAAAAATTAATTGAACTGCATATAAGCATATCATCATGCTCACATAATTAAACTGATGAATTAGAATCCACATTTCTCATGTTTCTTAAAAAAAGTATTATGGCAGTTACATCTTTGAAAGAATTGTGAAGAAAATAAACATACTTTTAAACGTTTTGGAACTGGGGAAATGTTCTTAATGATTATCTTCAGAGCAGAGCAAGAAGGGAGTTGTGGATTTAATCCAGGTGGACAGAAATTAATTATCCCCCTTAAAAAAGTCAGATAACATAAAAGACAGAATCTACAACCAAAATAGAACATGACAGAAACCAAAACCAACACAAGAAAAATTACCTACATATTTCTTCCTAGTCTAGGACTCCGATTTCACTTATATTCCACGAGGGAATTGGAGAAAAGAAGGTTTTTGTTTTGTTCTGTGTTCTTGGTGAGTAGCCTAAAGTCTTAAGAATTTTTGTATAATCTCAATAGCACCACAGGAAAAATCCCACAGCAGCTTAGGAACACTATTTGTTCTCTTTTAATTCTGATTTACACCAAGTCCTATACGATTGTGCTGGTTCTGGTTTTCCACTCAAGGTAAAAATAAAATGACTTTTAGGCCATTTGAATTATTCTTACCTTTCAGTAGATTAAACCGGACACTACTACGGCCCAAGATGTTCTTTTTGTTTCCAAGTGAGTAGTACAGTTTTCCCCCTCTCCCCCTGCTTCCCTCCTTTCTCTCTTATGTACATAACCCTTTAAAGCACTGAACGTGTTATTTGAGTTTGGCCATCACCGCTGCTCAGAGCTGTGTTTGTACATTGATAAAGCATGTTACATCTAGGGGTCATCAGGCTAGGTCAACTGATCACCCCCAAAACAGTCAAGAAAGCCTGCCATAATGTGTTTAAGGTGGCAATTAGTCCCTGCTTGAGCAGGAAGAGAAACCCAGGCCTTCTGACTAGAGAGCTAAGGTCCCTTCCCCTAACTGGAATGATTTCCTGCTTTATTTATGCAAAGAACATATGCCTCCGTGGGAGAAGTGGCAAAAAGAGGTACTCTTTCAAATCACCCCAAATCATCTCAACTGAGAGAAAGAAGAGGTTGGCAGATCTCTGCATAGTAATAGCAAACAACAAGTTAATACCTATATACTTTAATCTTCAGCATTCACAATTGGACAAAGTATTACTGGTCACTTAAATAATACGTGTCAATTAATCTAAGGAAGAAACGAGTAAAGGAGAACACTCAAAGCAGCACCTTGAGCATGTAAAACTGTCTGCGAGTGACATTTAACACTCCAAGCGCAGAATCAGAGCAGGTCTTTGAGGAGTAGTTACTTAAAATTCTTACCAACAGGGCAAAGCACTACGGGGAAAGGCACATAAATACACTCAACCTGCCAGATCGTTCGGCTAGATGCACAGCAATTCTAATAGGTTTGCCTAACCTGACTTTCCACGTATTTACAGTAGTTTTGAACACTCGTGTGTTGTCTGGTGATGGGGATGCAGAATAGGAAGAAAGGGGGACTACCGTTTACTTTAAAAATAGGATCAAGTGGGAAAATCTACCTCCTGACTAGTCGATTTTAAAATGGCATAACCAGAACTTTGTGACAGAGAAAACATTTTTTTTTCCTTAAAAATGTATATGTGTCAAAAATGGCTGAAAATCTTGTCCATGCTAGAGGAAAGTTGAGTGTGGAAAATTTGCATTTTTAAAATCTATGCTGTAAGGAAAATAAAAAGCCAGAGCATTTTGGCATTAGCAAAAGGCTGAACAAAGTTCTCAGGCAATAAATTTATGGGGAAACATGACAGGCTCCTCATTAAAGCTATGTGTACGTTGGCTGAATTTTATACAAGATTCTTGAATCTTGTGGAAAATTGGGCACGGCTTGACATCTGAACAATGTCGCTGGTTTGTTTGATTTCTAAAGCATTGGAAAATGTTGTACTTTGGAAATCAAGTAGAGAGGAATAAACATACTAAAACGGAACTGGGCTGAATCTGAAAGTTATTTTTCCATATGCCTCTATCAGATATTTATTACCTTTATTTCTTTTACAACACAGCCCCCGTGCTAGAAATACTGTAGTACTTTTTTGTTGTTTTTTTTTTTTTGATGGCGAGAGAAAAGAGTGCCGTTAAGGCAAATCTTACCCAGCAGCGGTAACCACCTAAGGATAGGCAATTTTCAGTTGGCTTTTCAGAGGCTGGTTGCCATGACAAAGAGCACAATTTATTCCTCAGTCCCTTATCACAGCTACAGATCACAGACCATAAAAATTAACAAGGCGCTTTTCCTTTTCCTGATGATTTCAGAGTTCCTCATCCTTACCTGAGGTCTTTTGTTCCCCCAATTAAATGGAATGAATGTCAGTCATCTAGCAATTCAATTAATGCTGATTCAAAATTCTGGCCCAAACCAGAATCTATAATCACAACCTCCTAATCACAGCTCTGTCATGAGAATGAAAAGTAAGCAGGAAATTGCATTAATTACTCAATTAGACTAATACTGTATTTTAAGCAACGGCTTAAGGGGCTGTCAGCTCTGACAAAGGACCGTGGAGTCGTCCTCACCTGTGTGCATGCAGTGGCCCACCCGAGGCTGATCTTTTCAAGGGGCCATAATTTTTACCCACCTAAGATGGATGGACTTGAGCTGGGTAATGGAAATTCATAACTGATACACCAACAACAGACGAGGGGCAGCTCTGGGGGGCTTCAGCGGCTCTCAGCATGGCCCTGGACGATGGACGGGCTTTTCCTGTGAGAGGCCCCAGGCCTTGTGGGAAGGCAAGCTGAGCCCACATCATCACCTGTGCTGCCTCCAGGAAAACATCTAGTGAGGGGGAACATTCAGGAAGTGTGAGAGCTGCTCCACTGAATCGTGAAATTGAGCGAGGCTCGCAGGTATCACCTCTGTAAACTCACGACAGAGCTTGCAGCGTATGCCGGGAAAGGCGCCTCAGCAGATGGGCCCGCACCTGAGGGGGTGCTGGGGAGGCTGAAAGCTAAGAATCATCTGCATCCCCAAGGGCCAGCTTTTCAGGACACAAAGCCTACCTGGAGAACCTTCGGGAAACCAAGAAGAGTGAGTGAGAAACAACTGGTTGGGAAGAACACACCAGATGAGACTGAAGTATTTACAAAACAATGCTAGATATAGACCCGAAAAAACTGGACCTTATTAAAAAAAAAAAAAATTAAATCCTAAAAAAATTAGACTTTTTTTTCTGACTCAGTTTTAGAAACTTAAATATTTTGTAAACAATAGGGAGGACACTAGAGCCTGTCATGCCTCTGTTTTTTTCTAAAAATCCTTCCCGAGTTGGATGGGGACAGGAACTAGAGACAGGAAGAGAAAAGAGGGCCTATCACACATGTCACATGTCGTGGTCTTTCCTCTGCAGCAGTTTCTGAAATGACCACCTGGGAAACTGCTCAGGGGTTTCAAAAGGAGAGAAAACATTTATTTGACTAAGACAGACAAAGTCTTTACTTCCAGGGTTTGCCTTGCAGGGGGCCACTGCTGAGCGAGCGGGGGTTCGGGTGGCCGGCAGGGCCCCCGGCAGGCAGGCTTGGACCGCCACGGGCGCTTGGAACCTTGGAGTCTCTTCCGGAGGCATTCGCTTGGGTCAGCCGGCCTGAAGGAAGCAAGAAAGTGGGGAGCAGAACTGCAAAAATGATTCCGGGGACAATCTGCCAAGTACACTTTTAAGCTAATGAAGACTTATGCTACAACACTTTTAAGCTAATGAAGTCCTATTCAGCATTTACTTAAGGCTAAAACCTACTCTTTATCCTTGAGATCAACCTGAAGGTGGGGAAGGGGTCAGGGATGAAAGGAAACGCAGAAAGCCTTTCTTTCTTCCTCCCTCTCCATTATCCCTAACCAACCAGGCCTGTCCTTCATTCTTTCCTGGTAGAGAATGGGGCAGGAGCCATTAGAGCACAGAGAAGGGGAAGGAAGCCGTGTGCAAAGGAAAGGTCAGCAGTGGTTTAAATGTACATAGAAGCAACAGAAGGAAATGAAAACTTTCCAAGAAGGAATGTGCATGCCTTAGCTTAGCCTCTCAACTCTGCCTGAGATGCACACTTTGACTGATAAATTCTGTTACCTTCTATGTCTGTGTGCAAAGCCTAATTCTTGTCACAATCCGGGATCACCTCCACTGGGCCCCTCTCCCTGCACCAGCCCCCCACAAATATTTTAAGACCGAACATATTAATAAGAAGTCAAGCTTTCAGATGATGAGGCGATGCTCAAAGCTGCAAAAGTCAAGCTCTACAGAAAACATTGTCTCTAAAGGTCAAAATATCTTACTGGGATCGTCTGTAGGACCCTGATCCTCTTCCAGGTAATATTCTATCTTTTTTAGGTCTTCCGGGGTAAACCTCCATTTATTCTCAGCCGGTGGGGGAGGTACTTTGGGGCTTGATCGTCTCCGGGCAGAGCCGAGAGGAAGGGCTTGCTGGCAAGATGCTGGCAGGGAACCCGTAATCAGGCCTTCTGGGAATTTCTGAGCTAAGACTTTTAGACCTAGGTGTTAGAAAGATCATCAGAAAAAGCAGCATTAACATGGTGAAGCCAAGGCAAAACCTGAAAAGGAGCCTGCATGTCTCCTCGTCTTTGGTCTCTGAGTCGAGGCCAACACGAGGACATGAAACCTTTCTTAACTGCTTCACCATTAAGTAAATTACACCAGAAAAATGTCAGTTATATAGGATTCTGAGAATTCCACCAGAAATCCTTGTGCTCAAGTCCTCAGCATTAAGGCTTTCTTAAAGAGCCCTGAGGCAGTGTCAGTATTTCAGGAATTTAAACCATGTGCTGATAAAGCTAACGGAAGCCTCACAGAACTCCTGCCTCCTTTCAGCCAGCAGCTTCTCTCTCCTCAGAACACAGGCACCCCTCGTTTTATTGCGCTTCATTTTTACTGCGCTCCACAGATGCTGTTTTCACAAACTGAAGGCAAGACCCTCCACCAGCAAAAAGATGACAGCTCGCTTGGCCGTGACGCTTGCTTTACTGCGGTGGTCTGGAGCCGACCCCGCAGAGTCTCCGAGGTCTGCCTGTACTAAATTCTGACTTCTCAGAGGAAAAAGGTGATGAGGTGGGGTTGAAGGGCTGTGAGTCCAAATATCTGCCTTTTATGTCCTAAGCAGAATAGAGTCCCGCTCACCTCCAGAAAGCATGAAGAGGTTTTCAAATCCCCGCTCACACATGGTGGTGGCCGCTTGGCTGGCCAGCCTCTCATCATCATCATACAGAATGATGATCTTGCCGTGGGCATTTTTCTAAGAGGCAGATGAGTTAAGGTTCGACCGTGCTCGGTAAATGCTCCTAGACTATAAGAAACCCCCAAGGAACAAAGAGCCGTCAAAGTTCACCTTTCTGAATTCAGGGGAATATCAAACGAGCGCGCTCCTCACTCATCACACTCATCTCTCTGCTACGGAAACCACATGAGCTGGTGAGCTTTTTTATAAACTAATACTGTTGTGGTCCAAGGCAGCACCAGTCACACACACACTACTCTCTCTCGCTCTGTTATCATTACAGCCCTGGAAGTATTACAAGCTTCATTTTACAGGCAAAGAAATAGAAAAACTTTTACGTTCAATGTGTTCTTATTTATAAAAACAATTTAGCATTATTTATAATAGTAAAAAAAAAAAAATGGGAACCACCTAAAAGTACAATAGAGAGGAAAAGTTTAGTAAATTACAGTAAATCTGAAGATGAGCTATTATATCCATCAAAAATGGAGTTTATAAAGAACTTGTCTTAGTGTGGGAAAATACACTGTAATATGAAGTGGGGGAAAAACAAGATACTAAATTACATACACGCTGTAATTTCTACTTTGTTAAAAAATACACAGAAAACAGTCTAGAATCATATATACAAAAAATGTAGTAAGTTGCTCGAATGGATGATTATTGAAGATTTTCAGTTTTCTTTCTTACATAGTTCAGTAAATTGTTTTATACTTGTATAATTTTTTTTTTGAGCAAAAAAATTAAAATTTTAAGAAGGAAAAAGTTAAAATAGAAGGAATAAAATTTACTTAAGTTTTACCTGGGGAAGTTTTCTGGGGGAAAATGTCCTAGGACTCACTCACTCTGAAGAAACCACAACCTTTATCCCCGATGTCTGGGGCGCAGTGCGGCGTGGCTTGGAAGCTTCTACTTTAATAGGATACGCAGCAGGAGCTAAGAATCCAAATTCTAAAATATGCTAAGAAAACCAATCATTCCCAAAATCTTGCTCAGAGTTTTCTTACTAGAAGCATGATTAACAAAAAATTTGATTCTTAAAACCCTCATTATCACCCAACTCCATAAAATGCAACAAAGGATACATATTCAAGAATATCATTTGAATAAGGGTTCATTGTTCTAGACAGAGTTGCAATTGGGTAACTGTAAGCTGCAGAGAGAAGAAAAACTCAGGAAGTTTGTAGCTATCTTAGTACAACTCGGCCCCAATTCCCAGCTGGTTTAAAGTCTAACTAAGAGTTGAAAGAAATAAATTTTCATAATCAGCGAGCCATAAACCTAAATATTTTTGTGAAAGAAAAGAAACAGGACACTATAAACAAAATATGAAGCTTCACTTGATGTTTCTCACATTTAGCACTGGGCGCCACAGCCATCCGAGAATGTCACCGGCCTCTCACAGAGCGTTATGGTAAAGCCAATTCACAGGTTCCCATAACGGAGCTAGCTTACATATGGGTTCCTTATCTGCTGACCATGGGATATGGTTCGATCCTGCTGAGAATCCCGTTGTGGGGAGTGAGATTCTGTAAAGCCTTCCCTGTCTTACCTCCAACAACGTGGCACTGTTGGTAAGAATCTCTGTCTCGCACATCGAGCAGCAGGAAGGGGCAGTCGGGGTAAGGTTTGTCTTTGGTGTTGGGCTCTGCTTTCTTCGCTAGCCCTTTGTCTAGATCCAGTTCCCCAACACCACTGATGACGCTGCAAGTAAAAAAGTAGGTCAGCAGAAACTAGTCAGGGGTTGATGGCTTAAAGGTCAAATGCGTTTCTTCAGAATAGCGAGTGTGCTCAGTGGCTTTTCAAAAGACACTTCAAAGAAAAAGGAAAATGGAGAGTGTGTCTCAGTTCTACCTTGGATTGCAAAATCCTATGGATTCCTACTCTATTTCACTGGACCCCAAGGAGGGGGATCCATGGGTCCATAGTTACCTTCAGAGAATGCATGTTAGGTCATTAGCGTGGCCGAGGGGTTAGAAACTGTAGCGTGCATGCTGCCTCCAGCAACGAGGGCAGCGTTCAGGGAAAGAAAGAGGCGAACCGTTGATCTGACGGAATTTTGAGGGATGTAAGAAAGCAGAGCCGAAGGGGAAAGAATAAGGTTGATAGGAAAGAAAAAATGAAGGTGTTTCCATGTGTATTATACGTAATATAAAGCAACAACGACGTTTCAACATATCTGAGACAGCGACCTAGCCAATATGGATTTTGAATCTCAATGTTTTCAGTAGTTATCTATACTTAATTCAATTTTATAGGTTACAGCGTTGAGGCTGAAGAGGCTTTCAGATTTGGTGGAATCCGTATAAGGAGACAGAGGAAAAGCTAGGATTAAAATGAGGGAATTGACCACTGACAGTTTTGTTTTTAAGGTCAGAAAATCAGGGAAATTTGTTGCCATATTAATATTATAGGCAAAATGTGGTGAAAATATGAATCAAAAGAATAAAGAAGAGTGTTATGAACAAAATGGCAAATAGTGAAATATCTGTTAGAATAAGATAATTACTTTCCTAGGCAAATATGAAGACATACAGGCAGACATGTACGCCAAGCCGGAGACTGGCATTAGCATAGTTCCTCTCCCGGCACAGCAGTCAAATTCTGCATTTAAATCCGATAAACACTATAACAGTGTGCCACATAGTGCATATTTTGTTGAACCAAAGGAGAAGAAAATCTATTTCATATGAAACTGCACCCTCAATAAGGAGTCTTGCTGGTCTAACTTGTTTTGAATGCAATTTCAGAGTCCTTGCACAAAAGTAGTTATAAAAATAATAACGGTGGTAGAAATGAGAGCAATTTTTCCTCTAGTCGAAATGTCTTACCAGTAGAAGGGACGGATATGTGCTGCAAATCAGCTCCGTCTTATAATCGACAGTTAATAATTGTGAGAAAGTGTCACATCACGGCCTATGGAATAAGAACCACCAGCCACATACAGCCTGAGAATCGACACCAAGGGCCGCTCTCACTTTCCTTGCATCTACCTATTTAAATATCAGAGCGCTGTGTGCGGCACTCTATCTTTCTTCTGATTCTAGTCAGAGTGATTACAATAAGCTGCAGCAGACAGAAAAGGTGGAGAAAATCATACTCTCTGAGTCAAAGAATAGTAGTTGTAAAGCCAAGCCCTAATAGCAAACGTGCATATAGGAAGGCTGAGAAGAATGGAAGTGAAGAGTGAAAATTAATGCTCTCCTATTAATAGATTCTTACATTAACTGACAAAGAATGCTGGGAAAAGATGCAGGAGGTGGAATTTATATAAAGAGAATGTCGAAGGGCTGGGATGAAAATGTGAGACTTCACTACCGCCAATTAAGTCACAGAAATCAGTCTTGACTAATATGAAGGTAAATGCAGTGAAAACATGAATGCGATTAGATTACCTCTGGAGAGTGGAGCGATTGGAGTCCCCTGCTCCCACGCTATTTATGAACTGGACAGGGCTCGGTGACTGCTCACCCGGGCTCCCCTTCCCGTTGGTCCTGGCTGTGATTTCAGCATCGGGGTCTGAAGTCGCAGAATCATTGTCTAAAATTTGAAAATGAAGAAATAAGTAAATTTAACCACAGAACTTGTATTTCTTAGGCAGTGTCACTGAAATTAGGTCAAGAAAAGGAAATCATATCACCAAAATTAAACTGTTCTATAAATTCTAATGTATAGCTTCTCAGAATGTCATCTGTGGACCCCAGGAGTCCCTGAGGCCCTTTCAGGGAATCTGTAAGGTGAAAACTTTTCATAATAATATGCAGATGTTGTCTTTTTTACTGTGTTGATATTTTCACCAATGGTGCAAGTGAAATGGTGGACGACACTGTCAGCGCCTTAGCAAGAATCAAGGTAGTGGCACCAAATTTTATTAGTAATCATTCCATTTTTCACCAACATGCAAACACAGTCAATAAATATGGCAGTCTCACTAAAAAATGACCCTGATGAAGCAGCAGTAATTAATAATTTTATTAGATCTCATCCTTAAGTACACACCTTTTTAATATTCTGTGCGATGAAACGGGGAAATGCACACAACGAATCTGCTACATACCAAAGTACCATGGTCGTCTCAAGGAAAAGCATCAGTGTTGTTAGTGCTGTTTTTGCCATGAACACTACTTTTATTTGGAGGAAAACTGACAGAAAAGCTATGGTTACTTAGATTTGTGCATCTGGCAGACATTTTCTCAAAAAATGATCTAAGTGAACTTGTCATTTCAAGGACAACTACTGATGGTACTTATTGTGATGATTACATTTTAAACAAAAATCAGAATTTTGGAAACGATGTGCCACCAGGAACTTGCCTGTTTCCCTATACTTAATGACTTTTCTGGGAAGGTAAGTGGTAGGATGAATAAAAGTGACTTTTTGATATTGTGTAATGCAATTTGTCAACATTTAGAAGATCTTCATAACTCAGTGAACCAATATATCTTTCACAAAACCAAAGTGTGATGTTATAAAATCATGCATGGGTAAACAATTCATTAAAGCTCACGAAAAGCTCATTGACATGGTCTCAGAGTCCACATTACAACTCTTAGGAAACTACCACATGTCAAGTTTTTGTGTCATATCGAATAAAAATATCCACAAGTACTGAAATGGCTATTAAAATACTCTTCCCTTCTGCACCTACGGGGTCTTCTATTAAATCAAGACATTAACGAGGTTTACAAAAAAGTAAAACAATGCTATTCTCAGTAGTATTTTTGTTTAAGAAATATAGCTATTTTGCATAAAAATTTGTTTGTAATGGGTCTAGTATTGTTATTTTTAAGTGAAATAGTAGGTAAATATTTTTTAAGTTCTCAGTTAAAAATCTTATTACCCTAAATATTAATAGTTATAATTCACATAAACCAAAACTTTGAAGTCATCAATAATTTTTATAGTGGAGAGAGACATACCAAAAAGTATGAGAATTTGCTGTTCTAATCTGTATAATTAGAGAAGAAATAAAAATAAAAATAACCTGCATAATTAGAGAAGAAATAAAAAAATAATAATTTGCATGTGATATAACTGGGAACTTCAAGAGAATCCTATAACAATAGGAAAATAGAATTGTGAATAGAAAAAAAAAATACGAAGGCACAAAATACTTTCCTATATACCAATTAGAAAATAACATGAAGACCATTTCATTTACAGTAACAAATGCAGATATAAAATATATTCTCCTAGAAAATAAGAAATTCTCCTATTAAGAAATGTAGGGGAGAGGGGAAGAGGGAGGTAGGTGGGGTAAAAGGGGTCAAATATGTGGTGACAGAAAGAAATCTAACTATGGGAGGGGAACACACAATGCAATATATGTATGCCTCACTGTTAAATTGTACACCTGAAACTTACTGAATTTCGTTAACCAAAATGTCACCAAAAAAAAGGAAATTGAAAATAAATTTAAAAAAAGTAAATTAAAAAAAAGTAAAAACTACCTAAAGAAAAAAAATAAAACAACTTAAAAAAAATGTAAAGGTCCTATAAAAATGTATAAGTCCTTTATAGGTCTTATAAAAATTATAGTTAGGGACATTACAGATCTGAATAAAGAGAGTGACATACCTTGCATATTCCTGACTGGGTGACTAAAAGTGAAATTATGTTAATCCTTTCCAGATGTATTTAATTTTTAGCCTTTATACAAATCCCAATGGGATTTGTTTAAAGCTTAAAAGAATTTTAAATGTAAGAGCAAAAACATTTTATGTGTGTATAAAATTGGCAAAACTGACTCATCAAAATGTAACATACATTGAAAAGGTAAACGATCAAAACAATGCCGAGCTACAACCAGAACAATAGGATGTAATAGAGAACAGAAACAAATCCTAGAATATACATAACTAGCTAATATATGTTAAAGGTGGCACCGCAACTCAAAAGGGAGAACTATTGAGCGAATAAATGGTGTTGGAATAATTTGCCAATTATCTAGAAAAAGAGAAAAATCAAATTTAGATAACCCACTCGCATCATATTTCAAAACACATAACAGATGGATTAATGTAAACAAAACAAAACAAAAACCGAGCAAGCTAATAGAAGAAAACATAGGTAAATAATTTATCTTATTTTGGATTTTATGAGTCTAAAGCAATGGAACAAAATACAACATGAAAGGCTAATAGATTTAATCATGTAAAAATGTAAAACTCAATATATGCCAAAAAAATCCCAATACACAGAAAATTAAAAGGTGAATAACAAATTAGGAAAAATATCTGTGACATATATGGATGAGAATAGGGCAATATACTTAATTATAAAGTTTTTAAAAATTAACTAGCTCTTTAATTGAAAAAGGATCACGTGTACAAGGTAAAAATGCAAACCAGATAAATTAATATGGGAAGGAAGTTGTCTTCCCACTCCAGACCCGCAGGCCCTCGGGCCTCCTCCCCCCACGGGAGCCAGCTTCGCATGTTTATGTCTCCTTCCAGAAATGAGACTACATACTTTTGCATATATTTTATTTCCTCTTTTTACATATCCAGGAGAATGCCATTCATACTGCTGTATGCTTTTTTTGTTTTGTTGTTTGATTTTTACTTAATAATATAGCTTGGAAATTGTTCCAAATCAAGTAAAGATTTTTCTCATTTATTTCCAAAGCTGTATTGGTGTCCAAAGGTAAAAAGATATCATAATTATATAAAGCTTTCATAAAACAATAACTAATAGATGAACATTCCATTAGGAAAAAAAAGGAAAGGACCTGTAATATCCTCAAAAGAAGAAATGCATAGGACCAATAAATATGTACATACACAAAGCTCAATCTCACTATCAGAAATTCAAAATAAAACTAGTAGACACCATTTGTTCAACTATCAAATGGGTAGATATTTACAAAAATGATAATTAATCAACACTGGCTAGGATGGGGAGAAACTGGTCTTCTCAATCACTTGGTGGGAACGCAGACAGGTAGAACCATTCTGGAGATAATGTGAATCAGCACTGAGCATCTCAAAATGGTTCCACCCTTCATCCATCTGCAGTAATTTATCTTCAGGAAATAATCAGAACTACACAAACGTTTATGTATTTACATTGCAGCATTATTACATAAAAGTAAAAACTTAGAAAAACTGTAATGCCCAGCAACAAGAGAATAATTAATAAATTATGTTATAGCCAAAGGACAGACATTACGTGACCACACAATCTTTTACACTGAAGCTTTGGAAGTCTACTTAATGACATGAAAGTATGCACGATAAAATGTTAATTGAAAACAGCATAACACAAAACTATATACAAAGAGTATGAATTTGGATGGGAGTCAGATGGGGGTAAATAGACCAAAATGTTAACAGGGATTATGAGTTATTTTAATTTTCTTCTTTATATGTATATTTTGTAGCTTTCTAATTTCCTAAAAATATATTTCAGCAGG